GTACGGCTCATTCCAGCAGCAAGCCCTCATGAAGACTCTCTTTAACATCAATATGGTAACTCACTAGTGATAGTCTGACATTGTATCATGTATTAGGATCGTTGTCATAGTATGTAATGGTGATAGACTACCCTGTGTTTCCAAACAGAAGCATGGGCATTTATTTCCTATCTTTAGTTAGGCATAGACTTTTATTTAAAGAATTTTTTATACCTTATATTGGCTTATATTTTCTTATTGCATCTATTGCTATAGAAAGCTTCATTTTTTACTAGCCATTCTTTCCGAATTTGACAGAAAAGCTTCTAAATTTATCTCTCACTATTTAAATTATAGATTGATGCTAATTTTGACGAGACTCTAAGGACTGTCTCCTCTACTGTATCAAATGTGATGTCCTCCTCTCATCTCTCCATTGAGAACTGTCTCCAGCTCACACAAGGCTGGGGGATCGTATCAGTTATTAAAGCAATCGAGGTAAACTCATTACAATGATGATTTGAAATAACATAGGATGCCTTTTTTTGAGGGCTGAAAATTTTGCAAATTTGTCTAAAAATTTATTTTGCAGATTTAATTTTTTTGAATTTATGCCATCTGTCATCTTTTACTGATTTTTGAGTAATTTTCGCGAATCTTTATAAAAATCACGAAATCCCCGAAATTTATAGCCCTCGAAAAAAGGCGCCCTATGGTAAGTTCTTGCAATTTTGTTCAACTTATTTTTCTCTCTCTCTCTCTCTCTCATTTCTCTTTACTACTGTAGGCATATCTTGTTCAGTTTACAAAGAAGCTGTCATTGGTACTTCAAGATCTTCAGGGTCGGTATCGTCAGGCAAAGTCTGAGACTGGTTCCGAAACGGGTAGGAACGGGTTTCAAGATGATTGGAGTAGCCTACAGTGGATATTCCAGTTTATTCAGCACTGTGGTATGGTATTAATAATAATAAATAAATAAATAATGTTAAAAAATAAATAATACTAAATTTTTAAGAGTGATATATAGCACAGTAATAATGATGCATGTATTAATTTTTAGAATTTTATTATTTTATTTTTTATTGCACTCTTTCTCTAAATTTCCTTTTTAGGTGATTTTCTTCTTCGTGTCTCAGCCTTTAACTCGAGTGTTTGTAGCCAGGTGCTCTCCCTCAGTGATACGTACACAAGTCCTGCCAGTTCTCAGAACCCGTTTAACGTGTTTGACTATCTCTCGATATACCATCCAGAGGAGCATACAGCAGTCATTGGATTATTGGGAGCCATTGAGAAAAGTTAGGAGAGAGTTTACATGTACATGTACCACAGAACAGAACTGTTCTTTAGCCACACAGGGTTTTCTACATGTACATTACATTTTACTTCTATCGTCATGTCTTCTTAATGTATTGTGTTATATCTTTAAATATTGTTATTATATTATAATTATTATTACTTACATACAGTGTACATATTAATTTATTTTATTTTTTAATTTATTTTATTTTTTAATTTATTTTATTTTTTAATTCATTTTATTTTTGTTATGTGTAGATGGTGATGGGCATGTGTTGCTCCCGGCAACGACCAATCAGATTCAAGTTTTGGTGAAGCAGGCACACACTTTAGCCTTTGATGTCGTGTTCTCTCAATTGAAACAAAAACTGATTGAAATTCCTAAACTCAAAGTACATACAATAATAACTATTGTTTTATTTTTATTATTTTTTATAAATTTATTTATTATTTTTATATTTATTTTCTATTTATTTTTCTCCTCCTTTTTATTTCTCTTTTTCTTTCTTCCTCTCTCTCTCTCTTCTCCCTCTCTACTTCTTTCTCTCTCCCTCCCATTTTCTCTCCTCATTTTCCTTTCTCATAAGGTTTGGTCCAGGAGTACCTCTTCTCCATTAGAGAGTCCTCAGGCTTTAACTGATGATTTGCCATCATTCAGTCTTTCTCCTTTGACCTATATCACTGAAGTAATCACCAGCTGCATGTGTTACTTCTGTTTTACATTTTTAGTACACATCAATTTTTTGAAAAAATAAAGCATGGGCTATATAGCCTTGGGTATTTTTCAGATTTTGGCAAATTTCTTTAAATGGCTGTAACTTCAAAATTTCAAGTCAGAATCGGCTCAAACTTTCTACATAGCATAAAGACATTAATATGTATCAGAAAATGTAATAAAAATTGGGGGTGATTTTTTGGCCATTTTTTGGAAAAAAGCATGGGCTATAGCCTTGGGTATTTTTAAGATTTTGGCAAATTTCTTAAAATGGCCATAACTTGAAAATTTTAAGCCAGAATCAGCTTAAACTTTCTACACAGCATAAGGACATCAATATGTATCAGAAAATGTAATTAAAATGGGGGGTGATTTTTTAGCCATTTTTCTGAAAAAAGCATGGGCTATATATTTTTAAGATTTTGGCAAATTTTTAAAACTAGCCATAACTCGATAATTTCAAGTCAAAATCAGCTCAAACTTTCTACACAGCATAAGAACATCAACATTTAAATGTATCTTTATTTCACATGATATTTTCTTTTAGATTGGTGACCATTTGCTGACTCTTCCTGAACAACTTGAGCCATTCACATCACAAGATAATCCATCACTAGCTGCAGCAATGAAGCACGGGAGACTTCCATTCACTGAAGGTAGAGACACTCTATCGTGTGACAATCACATAACTATACCTCACAGTTCACTTTTGATGGTGTACTAAATTACTAATGATTAAATTTTTAACCTATTGAAGTTTGCCTGAACTAATGTATAAAATTTTAGTTAACTGTTTTTGATGTATGGAGTACTTTAATTCTGTTAAAATCAGTACATATATTAATTCAAGTTTAATGATCCCATTATTGTTCATAGATGATGGTGAGAATCGTGATCTTAGTCTGTCTGATATGTGGTTGGATGCCATTGCTCGTGGTACCATGGAGACCTATGTTGAGAGTATTTTAAAGATACCGCGACTAACTGATGCAGCTGCACTACAACTATCAACTGATATTGGTAGGAGAGACTACAGTATAATACAATGGAGCAGATGTATTGCAATAGATTAGGAAAATGTATTAGTAATATTAGTAATGATGCTGATTGTTCAGTAGTATAAAGGAAAGAAAGAAATACAGGACAAAGAGCAGTAGAAATAGAAAAATTAGCTCTAGTTTGGAGTTTTCTGTAATAGTAATGTACAAGTGGATTTTCTAATATATAAAATCTTAGTATTAACTCATCTCTCTTGATAAGTAGAGCTTCTTAAGTTCTTATCTTTATTATTATTATTATTATTATTTTTGAGTATATTATGTTTCTTACTTTGCAGGTTATTTGTGTAATGTATTGGCTGCATTAGATCAGCCTCCTATTCCTGCCCTGACTGCTTTAGAGAAATTATTAAAATCTGACAAAGAAGCGTAAGACCAAACAGCACTCCAAGATTAACCTTTACTTAATAAAATTTTAATTGATATTGTAAATTTATTTATTTGCAGGTTTCCTCGTTTTAAAGATGACAAGCACACAGAGAGTGCATTATATCAAAGCATTGCAAGGCTAAGAACTTGGGATTAATTAAAAATTTTTTTTTTCTTGCAAAGTATTAATAATTTAAATTGATGGGTGTGGTGTTTTAAAGGGGCGTGTTGCAACCACGTGCTGTCATAAGGAGAAGAAAGAAAATGGTGAAGACAAGAAGTACTAGAAATAAGGTCCCAGGATCTTCCCCACAGCCGATGGAAGAGAGTGCAGAGTGAGAATAGTATTTTAATAACTTTTTAGAGTGAATAATGGCTCCATTCCAATCTTTTATTATTTTTTTCTGATAAAAAATATCTGAATCTGTGTGCTTTATTATCAATATGCATGTACCAATACTACTCCTAATAGTATACTGTATATCTGGAAACTTTTGAGGGGCTTAAGTCTTGCTGATTTTACTATTGTCTTGAGATTAATAAAAATAAAGTTTGCAAAAATCTCAATAACACGTTAATCCTTTAAAAGTTTCTAGCTATGATTATATATAGTATTATAATAATAATAATAATTTAGAGACAAAGTTCAGGAAAAGTCTGACTACACAGCAGAAGAGCTAGCATCGTTAGCATTCGATCACATCAAAGATAAAATAAAAGACAAACTCGATCACTCGCTGCCCGACATATTGATCCTTCCTGGAGGTAGAGAAGGAGACAAGAAAGGCCTGGATCTTGCATCAAGGATTGATCCTGGAATAGACATAGGAGGAGAAAGAGAGAGAGGAGGAAAAGACAGAATGTTTAAAAAGGATAAGATCTCATTAGAAATGACTAAGAGACAGGAAGAGGTAGAAGACTTTTCTGATTTTCTGAATTTTTCCTTCTGTCTTAGATTATGAAGAAAAGTGTCATCACTTCAGATTTCGAAAAGAAGGAATCAGCCCCGCCCGTTTTAGTCTCACGTTACAAGTTAAAGAAAATGAGAAAGGTTATAATTGAATTTTAATACTTATTAATTATTGTGTGTAGGCGGAAAGAGAAAAGTCTGCAGGTAGTAACTGGTTTGATATGCCTGCTCCGGAAATGACCGAAGAACTCAAAAACGACCTCAAGGTCCTCCAAATGAGAGAGACTCTTGACCGTTCTCATCACTACAAGAAATCGGATTGGAAAAAACTACCAAAGTATTTCCAGGTGAGATTGTGGGCGGGGCACATCTTGACCACACCCTTTTCAATTTATTTAAGGTCGGACGTGTGATTGAGGGACCGGGTGAATTTTATTCAGCAAGGATACCAAAGAAACAGAGAAAGAGGACAATTGTAGAAGAACTTCTGGCAGACCAGGACTTCAAAAAGTAAGAGGAATATTAGTGAAGTAATTATTATTGGTGCCAATTGGTAATCTATCATTATGAAGCGTCTAATTTTGTTTTATTTACTGAAATGGGCTACCAATATTAAAAATTGCATATATCCTAATACAATTTTTCCAGCTATAATAGTTTCTACTTTCTCATAATTATTCCTAACTTGCTTTGTTCTCTCTCTTCCTTTATTTCGTGTTCATTAGGTATCAAAAACGTAAGTTCTCCGAGCTCCAGGCCAAGAAGCAAGCATTGATGAGAAGAAGAAAAAAGAAATCTTTTACAAAAACTTAAATCATAATAATTATACACAATATTTATAGAGATAATGATAATCAACGACAAGGTTTTTTCAGCTCACAAAAAAACACACAAGAAATACAATTTCAATCACAATAGACTCAAACAATCAAAAATTTTGCAAATATAAGTATAATAATGATAACCAATTGCAAATTATTAATCGTTAGTAACTGATACTAAAACGTATCAAAAAGTCTCCCTCTCTCTCCTCTATTCTACATTAAAGTAGACAGCTCCCCTCATTTGTAAACTGGTCTCCACACACTGCCTGACTGTTTCTCCAGAACTAGACTCCCGTCCCTCCATTTCTGTGACAATATGAGTCACTTTGTACATCATATTCACCAGGTCCAGTCTGTGTGCTTCTGCAGTGAAGACCTTGTGTATTGAGGCTATGAACCATGAACCGTCACGAGGAGACCTGTACGCCGACTGCGACCTTGTTGTAGCCCAAAATATGGCAACGTCAGCGTCTTTATTGACGACTGGTGGAACGGTCTTGGGACCGTCGCTCGAGACAGCGGGTACGTCCGTGTGAGTTGCCCGACAGGCTTGGATAAAGAAAAGCTTTGGCTTATTTCGTAGGGAGGGGCAAGCCTGGATTTCACCAATGAGATTGTAGACGTTAATACGCTCGCCATCGGAGCCGAATATATAATTATTATCT